ATTCAGGATATGTGTGTCCCAGGTTCAGGTTGTATACAGATTTGTTTCCACTAGAGGCAGTGCTGGAATGGTCGAGGTAATTAGCCCAGCTAAAGGAAGCTGGCTCACTAGGGCCTCTGTTAAGGTGGCCATACACCTTACAACCATTGCAAGACTTTAGTCTTGCAATGGTTGTAAGGTAATTTAAAAAACATACGATCTGCCCATCTTGGACAGGCAGATCGTACTTGCGATAATCGCAAGCCTGCCCCACTGAGGGGCGGCCTTTCCGATGATTGCAATGCTGAATGGGCAGTGTGCGCCATTTGTCTTACGAGCGCGCCACAAACCAGCCGAAAATCGTACAATTTTCGGCGGGTTTTCAAACATGTTCGTAAGACAAAAGACGCACGACCGTACAGTAGAAATGGTCGCACGCCTTCAACACACCTGCCGATTATCGTACGATTGCGGGATTTCCCGCGATTATCGTACAATAATCGGCAGGTGTATGGGCACAATAAAGCTGGCCATACATCTTACAACCATCGCAAGACTTACCGTCTTGCGATGGTTGTAAGGTCATTTAAAAAACGTACCATATGCCCATCTTGGACAGGCAGATGATACTTGCGATCATCGCAAGCCCGCCCCGCTTAATGGAGGGCTCCCGATGATAGCAGTGCTGAGCCGGCAGTGTGCGCTTGCGGCATTTGTCTTCCGACCACACCAGCAACCTGCCCAAAATTGTACAGCAGGTTTTCCAGCATGCTAGGAAGACAAGAGTCGTGCGACCTTACAGTAGCAGAGGTCACACGCTGCCCATACACCTGCCGATTATCATACGATCACGAGATCACCCGCGATTATCGTACGATAATCGACAGGTGTATGGGCACCCTAAGAACTCCCAGACTCTTTAGGGATTTGCTCCACCAGGAACCAGTTTTGTGCCTGAGTAGACTGGGGAGGTTTCTACGTACTTTAGTGGTGAAAAAGAAAAAACAAACTCGTGCAGTGAGACACAGCCCGTGTGGCAGTTTGTTCAATAGTGAGATACAGTGATTATGAAAATAATTATTTGATCCCCTGCAGAGTTTGTAAGTTTGCCCACTTACAAAGAAATGAAAGGTCTATCATTTTTATCATGGGTGTATTTGAAATGATAACGACAGAATATCAACCAAAAATCCAGAAAAAAACACATGATACAAATTAGGGTGCAGCACAAGGTTGCACCTAGTTGTTAGTGAGGGAAAACAGTTTGTGTAGTAAGTTGCCAGAAGGCAAGGATTTATTTTCATGTTTTTTCTTGATCAGCGGTACATGGCTACCAATCGGCATCTCTCTTCAGTTTGTTCAGTTAAGATTTGAAAATGAAAGAGAGAAGCTGATTGGTTGCCATGCACAGCTGCTCCAGATTTTGTCTGCTCCAGTTTTGATAAATTCCCCTCAGTATACACAGTGCATTCAGAAAGTATTCAGACCCCCTTCACTTTTTTCAGTTTTGTTATGTTACAGCCTGATACTACAGTTGTGTACATTCTTTCTTTCTGATTAATCTAGACTCAGGGCCCCATAATGACAAAGTGAAACCAGAATTTTAGAAATGTTTTCAAATGTATGAAAAAGGAAAAACTGAAATATCACATTGACATTAGTATTCAGACCCTTTGCAACAACAATTTAGCTCAGCTGCCTCCCATTTCTCTTGATCGTTGTTGAGATGTTTCTACACCTTGATTGGAGTCCACCTGTTGTAAATTCAATTGCTTGGACATGACTTGGAAAGGCGCACACCTCTCTATATAAGGCCTCACAGCTGTCAGTGCATACTGTATCAGAGTAAAAGCCATGAGGTCAAGGGAACTGCCTACAGAGCTCGGAGACCAGGATTATGCAAGGCACAGATCTGGGCCAGGCTACACAAATTTCCTGCTGCACTGAAGGCTCCCAAGGGCACAGTGGCCTCCATAATTCTCAAATGGATGAAGTTTGGCACAACCAGGACTCTTCCAAAAGCTGGTCGCCCATTCAAACTGAGCAATTGGGGGAGAAGGGCCTATCAATTTACAAAATGCAAAGTGAGTGAACAGAAGAAAAATCTAAATCAAATCAATATTTGGTGGGACTACCCTTTGGCGTCAAACCAGCATCAATTCCTACACTTGTACGGGGTCAGGGATTTTGGAGGATTAGAGTCAGGTGTATGATTAACCAATTATACCAAGCAGGTGCTAGTGGTCATCAATTTCATATATAGGTGGAAACACAGTCATTAACTGAAACAGAAACAGCTGCGTAGGAGGCTTAAAACTGTGTGAAGGTGCCCATACAGCTGCCGATTATCGTACGATAATCGTGGGAAATCCTGCGATCCTATGATAATCGGCAGGTGTATGGAAGGCGTGCGACCGTTTCTACTGTACGGTCGCGCGTCTTTTGTCTCCCGAGCCGGCTCGAAAACCCGCCGAGAATCAGCCAGTTAGTGTCGTTCTCGGGAGACAAATGCCGCACGGGCTGGTGTGCGCAAGCACACACTGCCCGTGCGTCATTGGAGTCATTAGAAGCCCGCCCCTCAGCGGGAAGGGCTTTCGATGATCGCAAGTACGATCTGCCTGGAGATTTGGTCAAGTTCAATGGTGTCGTCATTGCTGAGAAATACAAGAAGATACTTATCCATCATGCCATACCATCAGGGAGGTGTGTGGTTGGCCCCAAATTTATTCTGCAGCAGGACAACGACCCCAAACATACAGCAAATGTCATTAAGAACTATCTTTAGCATAAAAAAGAACAAGGAGTCATGGAAGTGATAGTTTGGCCTCCACAGAGCTCTGATCTCAACACCATGGAGTCTGTCTGGGATTACATGAAGAGACAGAAGGATTTGAAGCAGCCTAGATCCACAGAAGATTTGTGCTTAGTTCTTCAATATGTTTGGAACAACCGACCTGCCGAGTTCCTTCAACAACTGTGTGCAAGTGTACCTAGAAGAATTGATGCTGTATTGAAGGTAAAGGGTGGACACACCAAATATTGATTTAATCTGGATTTCTCTTCTGTTCCTTTTACTTTCCATTTTGTTCCAAAATAAACTATTAACACTTATTTCTGAAAGCATTCTTACTTTACACCATATTTCCACACCTGCCTAAAATTTTTGCACAGTAGTGTGTGTGTGTGTGTGTGTGTGCGTGCGTGCGTGTACTGTATATATATCAGTTTTTCAATGAAGCACCATGATTTTTGAGAAATATTTTACATGGATTATTGATGCATTTTTACAGCCTATGTTCTTGAAGAAGAACTCCAGGTAAGGAAAAAAGGAAAACCCTTACCCTTGCAGTGGGGCTACCCAAAGGGTTAGGGGCTCATGTAAAGCTGATTCTTGGTCCTCCGGCAATCGGTGCTCACCTCTGCAGCTATGGAAGGTCACTCAGCTTCCTGGTGCATAATGCAAGTCAATGGTCCAGCATAAGATGTGATGACATCAGCAGTCCTCCGGAACCCAGGGGAGAAGAGGCTGTGGGGGCCGGTCTTAATAACCCAGAGGGAGCCAGTGGGACAGGGGATGAGGTAAGTAAAACAGCCGTAGACAAAATGAGCATTAAAGTTTTTTTGTTTTCCGGAGTTCTTAATTTTGTGCCCATAGACCGCAAGTCTTACATGTCCAATTCATTAACCTGTATTTCCATGCAGTTTACAGACATTTTAATTAAATTCTTGTACAGTGTAGTGTGCATCTTTTTCACAGCACACTGCTGAGTGTAATAGGGACCAATTAAAAATAAAATCTATTCCGCAGTAGCCCCAAAGGATATGAATCTACTTTATGTGCACCAAACACCTTTGCAAACTCAGTTATTTACTATATAAAAGTAGCGGTGACCTTATCACTGCGCTACACATAACCTGTGGAGAGAACAGCTATGTGGGAGGGACCCAGCAGGCCCCACCCACTACAGGCTGCCTGCAGAGCACAGTAGGGGGGCGGATACAAGACCAGTCACCCTGCACAAGGAGAGAACGCAGCTTTTATTACAGCATGCTCCTGCACACAGGAAAAGTTTTATACTAGATCAGTGATGGCGAACCTTGGCACTCCAGCTGTTTTGGAACTACAAGTCCCATGAGGCATTGCAAGGCTCTGACAGCCACAGACATAACTCCCAGAGGCAGATGCATCTTGGGATTTGTAGTTTTGGCACAGCTGGTGTGCCAAGGTTCCCCACCACTGTACTAGATGATAGGGATGCACCGATACCGGTATTCCGGCATCCCTACTAGATGACTGCACAGATGTGGCTATAATACATAATTCACACAAAGGGGAATGGGATTTGCAGTGCATTGTGACCACTAGGTGGAGTTGAGGAGCACTGGAATTTCCTATGCACCTTGGCTCTATCTAATGGGCAGAATGTGCTGCTATGTGAATGGTCTGTAAATCTCCCCCTAGGATTGGAGTAAGAATACACACGCCTCTTGTATTAGACAATATTTGGTCTTGCGGAGTTCATTGTGAAATACAAATCTGTTTGTAATTTGTTCCCGGGCATGCCATCCCCTCCGCCGTGCCACCAACACTTCAGTGTAAGGGATTGTGTAACTGCGGGAACACTTCTATTTATTTACAAACGTGTAGGGAGGACATGATCGTTCTTTCAAGTCAAGGACCTTCCTTTGCAGCAGTGAGATCATTGTTATCATGAAGGTAAACAGTAGCCATGAGCCTATTCCTCACCTCTTCCCCCATGAACTACAAATCCCATGGTGCATCAGGGGCACAGCAGCCTGTCCTCTTCTCATGTGCCAATAGCAAGCAACAAGTGGGGAGCTGCCCATGTATATAAAGGCTTGAGGAGCCCAGCAGATCCGGAGAACAGAGCTGTGCTGCCTCCCCGCCCTGCATCAAGAGATGGATGCTATACTGAGCTGCACTGAGGAGTCCTTGGGGCCAGATTATTACACCCTGCTGGGATGTGATGAGCTGTCCACGGTGTGTATGTCCATTTCCACTATTCAGCCTTTCTATTGCTGTGTCACAGTCTATGACATCGTCCTGTGCCAGCAACTTCTCCTCCCCTTCTGCAATCAGACATTTCTATCTAAAATGTGGATGCTGCAGACTGGTCTATGACTTATTGATACATACTGATTATATTAGACTGGTCTATGACTTATTGATACATACTGATTATATTAGACTGGTCTATGACTTATTGATACATACTGACTTTATTAGACTGGTCTATGACTTATTGATACATACTGATTATATTAGATTGGTCTATGACTTGATACATACTGATTATATTAGACTGGTCTATGACTTATTGATACATACTGACTTTATTAGACCGGTCTATGACTTATTGATACATACTGACTTTATTAGACTGGTCTATGATTTATTGATACATACTGATTTTATTAGACTGGTCTATGACTTATTGATACATACTGACTTTATTAGACTGGTCTATGATTTATTGATACATACTGATTTTATTAGACTGGTCTATGACTTATTGATACATACTGACTTTATTAGACTGGTCTATGACTTATTGATACATACTGA